CAAACATTCCTAGTGGGTTCTTAATTCCTTATGAAGAAGAACATTTAAGGATTGTTTCAACCAGAACCGTGGGACCCCCCCCCCTCAATATTTTTCACTCATTCGATTTTTCAATCTACTTATTTCCCATTTTCAACGATTTATCTTTCTTTTTCTTTGGGACATAGTCATTGTTTATTTATTTATATTTATTCAATTAATTTATTTCCCTGTTCCTTGACCAGTCGCGAGCTTTTCCTTTCGAATCGGTCGAATCTTTCCTTAGTTATGTGAAAGTATAGTGAATTAATGGTTTCCTCTCCAATGATGCGATAATCTGATTTCCCGTGGTGTGAGTAGGACACTTCCAGATGAAAGGCGTCGCTCCGGCAACGGATGGCAAATGAATCCGAGCCGTTTTTGTCCGCTCCATATGTATGAGATCCCGAGAGTGTTGCTGCTCTGTCGACATATTCCTCAGCAAAGCGTGATGACACTGCTAGTTTTTCAGCCTCTCCGAAGATGGATAATTGCGCAGCGATTGTATGAACTGCACTTCAATAATGTCCAAAGGAAAACAACTTTTTGCTATTGAAATATGCCCCATTGGATGTTTCCTTTTTACTTCCTTAGCTGTTTGCTTTTAATCCCTTGCAATTGCCCTTCTTGTGATACCTTGTGACGAAAGCTGTTAGAAGATACACGATACAAGTAAGAAAGTTCTTGAGTAACTTTGCACCCTTCAATAGCTAAAAAAGCTGAACGCCAATTTGTGGGCTTGATTACCTCTCATTTTGAAGGCGGTCCTCGCACTCAACCAATTCTTAGGGTCTTCCTTGTGCAGAGGCAGTGGGCACGATGGCAGGGGAGGACGATTACTGCCATCGTCATTGGGGGAAGGCCAAATGCTCACTCGTAGCCCTTGTACCAGTGACGTTGGCAGCAAGCGCCCGCTCCCAACCATCGTGTCCGCTGCCTTTAAGTAGTCAGTTCTCCAGTCTCTGAGACTGTCTCACTTTCTTGGCTTCACAAAAAGAACGGAGATGCTGCGGCCCTCATATGTGGCATTTCTTGCCACCTCTCCTTAGTTGCCCCCGCCCACCAAGAACTCGAAGGCTGTTTTCAGTCACAAGTTCAGTTTTTACGCCGTGTTTTTCGCTTTTAGATGGATTAGCATTGAGTGAAGTGAAGAAATGGATTAGGGAGTCAAAGGCGACAGGCTATCGCTTCGCTGGCATAAAACGAGCAGAGAACTCGTGTCCAGAACTCGTCCGGAAAGGCTGCCATTTCTTTACTTAGGATGTTCCCATGATTTTTTTTTTGCTTTTTTCTTTCCTGGCAAGTCATTTGGCGACTATAGGCTTGGAACTGAACGCCACTATCCACGAGATACAATCGCGGAATTCGTTTCTAACTCTTCATCTGTTTGTTTGCTTCAAACTTCCATCTCAGTCTTGCTCTGTTATACAGGTACAGCCATCGTTGTGTGAAACACATGAGGGGGATAAGTTTTTTCCGCGTGGGGAGGGGGTCGTATTTTAGCAGGGTTGTTTGGGCTGAGGAGGGTCGTATGTGGTTATCAGAGAAATTGCCGCTGGAATAGAATACCCCCCCCCCTCGTGCTTCATGGAAGATCTTTTGGGTGGATAACTGGCAAAAATTGCGAGATCTTGGTGTTGGATAAGGGGCGGGGGCCGTCCTGTAACCGATACCCTCTCTTATTGTTAGGTGTGGGGATTGGGGTCGTACCAAAACCCTCCCCGGAGGGGGAAGTTGCAACGACACCACCATTCCACACATCACGATGCTGTATCCTTTCTGTTAACTAGCGGTTTCTTACTTTAGATGCCCAAAACAATCCTGAGTCCACAGACGCACTTCATGCTATAGAGACCAGAATTTGGAAGAATTTTAACATCTTCGGCTTGATGGGGCGTCTAACGACGCTCAGTGAAGCTCGAACAGGCACTTCGAGAGAATGTAAACCCCTGTAACTGAAGTGTCTCACTTACCACTTTTCTATCAGTTTCACAAGAGTTCACGTTTCTCACCAAACTACGATCTAATTGTTAAGATGAGCTAGCAAAGGGAATTAGTGAAAGTGCAAAATGCCCCTCCAAGTCGAATAGCGCCTAATTTCGTACCAAATAGGTGGTGATTATCAAAGCAAACTTGAATTGAAGTGGAGACGGTGGTGCTTACTTGTAACGCGTTTACTATTATAAAATATGATTCATCGTCATTTTGTTATTATTGGGTTTCATCAAGTGGTAATATTACTGAACTCTTTCTTGCGTAATTTTTTCTTCTCATCTGTTCCTTCTCCTGACTTTTCTTCTTCTTTTATGGGTTTTGTAGCGAAAATTCCCTAGTTTAGTTTTAGTGTAGTTTTAGAACAGATGAATGATATCGTTTCCGTGAACTCGCGGCTGGAATATTGTTTCCTGAGGCGGGATTGTTAGGGGGAAGTTTGGCGTTTTGTATAAAGGAGTTCTAATTAACCTACGATAATAGGTTGCTAATACCCTAATAGCCTAGAACTAGGTACTATCAGAAAGAAACGGCAGTTGAAAGCATTGCGAAACTTATTTTCGAAGCATATGTTCTTTTTACGAGTTCAGTGAATAGCACTGTGAAGAAGTGCCGTGCATTCCTAAGAATCAGTAGATCAAAATTCACTTAACATTCTCACGGGTCTTTCAATGTTTAAAGGCAGTTGGCACGATAAATCGCTATACAGATGTAGGATTTATACGACTGGCTTAACAGAATTCCGTGACCTCGGACAGGCGCTCCGTGGCGCCTTTTCCAAGGAGGGTACCCCTATAACGCCCTATCGAGCAACAACATTCCGTCCCAAACGCCTTCCTCGCCCGCCCGCCCACAAACGGACGACCGTTCCTGACGCTCGTATTCATTCATTTGCTGAGCAAATTATGAAGCAAAGGGATTGGTATGAAGCGGCCGTGATGCTGCATGCATATATGGGTACACATATGCAGCCGTATCTTCGGTAGCGGTGATTGGCAAGATGCGTACGGGAAACTCGTCCGAAATCGATTTTCAAGTCACTGAGAACGGAGGCTTTTCTTCGCCGGATTTTGACCGTTTCACTCCGTTCTTTCGCCATTTCCCCACTATACAGCGCCCTACTAGCATTTTAGGCTAAGTGGGAAACCATCGTGCCAACTGCCTTTAAGTTTTGTCGTGTGCGACCAGTAACCGACACTGAAAAATGGCTGCTGTGGCGAGGGTCAAAAATATAACTATATACACATCAGTAAAAACAAATAATTCGATTGATGCTGATTCAATTCCATCTTTGATTTCGAACCAAAGAAGTGCGCTACCAAAGAAGTGCGCTAAAGAAGTAACCAAAGGAGTAGCCTCTGGTGGACTTCTTATTATCACTGCTTTTATTTCCTTTCCTTTGTCATGCATTTACTTCTTTCTAGTTTGATAAGAATGGGAAATGTTCTGAATTGTTTTAGTTAGAAGTGCTGTTTCAGGCAGAGGTAGTGTAGTGACAACTAGCGCTCACCACTCGCGCGGTCCTGGGTTCAAATCCCAGGTCGACTCCCGCCCAGGCCAACCAAGCCTTCTACCCTCCGGGGACGGTAAATTGGTACCAGATTCGTCTGGGAGGATAAAACACTTGTACATCGGCTGGCCACCGCAAGTCATTGTATAGGCCACATCGCATTCAATAAGCCTACGATTCTGAATGGAAGTAGAATGCGTGCCGCATCCCACAAAGGGATTGATCAACGGCGAAGACTTTATCCTTTATCCTTTAAGTGGTGTTTCACGTCGGAGCGCGCGCTCCAAGGGTTATCACAAGAGTGCCATTGGCAGATTGGCAAACGTCAGACCTCAGGCGGGAGTGGAACCCGCATCTCCCCATGACAGGACCAGTGCGCTATGCACTACACTCTATTTGTTTTTTGTTGAAATGTTTTGTTTAGAATACCGCTCGGTGCTGTGTACACCAGCCATTTGATCGATTTTGGAAATTGCCCTTTCTGGGGATACGGCACGCATACTACTTCTGTTCAAAACCCTAGTGGATTATAACTGCATTATGGCCTTTACAATTACCTGCTGGGTCAGCCGTTGAACAGCTCAGTGTTTTCTTCCCCCAGACAAATCTCCTACCGATTCTCATTTCTCATTCGCAGAGTGTAGCTCGCTCAGTGTGGGTAGAAATATTTCCTTGACATGATCTCCGGATCGTGCGTATATAGCTGCGCCGTTTGCCACTTACCTATTTCTGCTCATCTGACCCTCAGCTGTTCTTAGAAAATACTATATATACCCCTGTCTACCTTGAATTATGTATATTTTCGAATTCTCTTGCATTCGTGTCGATACGGCCTTACTAAGGTATCAGATATTGTACGGTTGCAGAAATATGGAAAAGCGTCGTGAAACGTCCAGATTCGCAGCGAGAGATCGACGAGGCAAAGAATCAGAAATATTCAGTGATCTTCGAGCTGTGAGTATATTTCTCAAGTAATTTGAATTTTGTGAGGTTTTTCGGGACAATGATGGTTTGTCTGCGTAAGATGCGAGAACCATCTGTGGGGTGTTCTCTTTTTCCAAAATTTTGTTTTACTTTGTTTCTATTAGGTCGGAAAGGAAGTCCTGCGACACTTTGATTAAATTGTTCTAGAAAAAGAACAAAAAGCATTTTGAATGTTTTCACCTCTGATTGATGGAGAGTGCCCTCTGAGGTTTTTGCAGTCGGCATATTCTGACTTTAAGGAAGCTTTCGAAGCCTGAAAGTCTCCTAAAGGTCAAGGTACTTTTCGACCTATCCCATATTATGAGTTCCTGTAGGGCCACTCCGCCGTAGTCGAGGGAGCTAACACCTGCGTTGTATTCAGGAAGGATGTCGCTTGCCATGGCAGAGTGTCCCGTTTGTATAAGCTGAAACTATTTAATTCGCAGGTAGGTAACGTATAGATCGGCCAACAGCACAGAATGACGGCCATTTACTCAACTTCCTTCAGGCGCTGTCGAAGGTAACCACCAGTATGTTGGCCGCTCTCGCGACTGAGTTTTCTCTTCCTTCTACACACTAAGAGGGAATTTTATGAGACTTAGTTGGTTGGTAACGACAGCTGGGTCCCTTACATAAACCGTGCACAATCCCTCACAGAATCTCTCACAAGTAAAGTAGCCTGCATAGCCAAAAGCATATGTGCATGGAATAAAGATTTCATGTGTTATTGGTGGAACTCTAAAGCGATATCGCTGAATACGGGCAGGGCAATGGCGGCCACAGTCCCTCCAATCAACTTCGAAACATGGATGACGTCACGCTTGAATTCATTCAGAAACACTCATTTTCTTTCTACTACTCAATGCGAAGACCGCATGTAAGGATCAGGCTACGCCAAAAGATCATGGATTTCGATCACGGAATGCCACCGTACCCAGCTTATTCACCAAAGTTAGCAGTCTCTAATTACCACCCCTTTGATCCCTAACGCATCAGAAAGCAAAAATTCCGAAAATCGACGTCTTCTCGAAAATATGGTCCAGCTTCTTTATATCGTAGTTCCCGTAGTTCAATGAGAGTGTAAATGAGAAGCTGTGCAGAAGATGGGCGCTAGGTCCTAGTTACTAATATTGATCACCTTGTAGACAGGAGGCATCTTTTAGTGAAGGAAAATCTGGTCCGAAAATTTGGTCAAAGTGTCGCAGGACTTTGTATCCAACCTAATAATTGTCAATAATTCTCGCTCCATGGGACATGGTCCTTGCCATGTGTGTGGTAAATGAGTACGTAGCTGTAACGTGCCTTTTTCTCCAGGAATGGGATGAGGGATAGCTGTACCAGGGTACCGTTTTTCACACTCCGTCCGGACTGTCGTACAGCCATCCACATCAAACGCGTTACTTGTCTGCACCCTCTTACTTCTGGTTCTTGCCTACCGCTGAATACGTGCTTCGCTGCGGGATCACTGTACCATCGCAAGTGCTGCACATTGAGGATAGCGCGAGTGGAGTATGGAGACGGTTCACGAGTATGGTACCTAGCAACCCTGTTCTCGTGCACTTTGAAGCGAAAAAAGTGGGAAGAGAAAAAGAAAAAGGCACGCTATACGGCGCGGGAGGCGGTCAAGACAATCGCAGTTTGCCGCTCCGCCGCGCGCGGTGATGGGCGCGACTTTTTTCAATAGCCTGTCGATTGGCACCGAATTTCACGTAGACTACGACCCCGTAGGCATTAATTGCTATTTTTGGTCATACACTGTCTATTGTTGCCATCTGGGGCCCAAAAGATCGTCAGCAGGTCCGACGTCGCACGCGACGTCCATCAGCGCGGCGAATCACGATTGTCTTGTCACATACCCCGCTACTGCAGCCGCGAACCAATTCGCCTAGAACATGGAAAGGACCTTCCTCGAAGATGATTGTGCAGTTTGTCTTTAAGGTGGTCCCTATAGTCGATGAGGGCACTGTCACACACTTGGATCGAATAGCCGTCTTACGTGTCAGTTCCGCATGGTGTCGGATACGAAAAACGGCCCCAAATGGTGAGGATTGCGTTTTGCTAACATTTCATCAGGCCATGATCACGATTTCTTTCAGTTTTGAAACCGGTGGAAGTCGGACCAGAATTAACTCCAATTGGCAAGGAGCTATGGTGTGAGGACACGGTTACAGAGACCCTCGATGGTTTTATAATTATTGCGGACAGCGATGGCACCATCCTTTGTGTGACCGAAAGTGTCTGCTTGTACCTCGGGCTTAGCCAGGTTTGTGTTCTTTCCTGTTCAGACTTTTAACTTAATGATTTCTTATTGTTTCTTTGCTTCCTGATTTATTATTTCTCCTTTCTATCACCATAGGTGGCTAAAATAGTGGTATCGATCTGATAAGGTATATCAGTCCCACTGCTTATCGAAAAAGTGATCTTCTCTTGATCGTTTCGATGAAACTCTGAAACTCTTCAAATATCTTGCAAATGTCTTGCTTCCTTGCAAATGGACAGGGCATTTATTGGGGCGTAAACTGGAGCGCAGCCAGAACAGCATTTCCCACCAGCCCTGGTATGCACTCAGAATGGCATCGCTGGTGGAAAAGGCAGCCTTGGCAACGCTCCAACCCGTCACATTCTTATCGTTGCAGGTTATGAAAATGTCTGTGGCGAATTTTTCTGGGGGAACGACAAAGGTCGCTCACAAAAGATGTGTCAGAGCCTGTTAATTTCGCGAATGTCAGTGGAAAATCTGGTAGCTGATCCATTCTTCCCCTCTCATCCGCGTTTTTGGGATCATTGGCTAGATTTGTAAGTACAATAACGGAGTGTGAACGAAAAAATAAAGGAGAAGAAGCTTTACTCCCTTCAGGCTTCATTTTTCGGTATTTATTCGTAACTATTCGTGTCCCCATGCTGCATATACTCGGAACGAAGAGTTTCCATGAGTTCCGTTGCGAAAATCATCCAATCTGTCTTTGGAGCTGCTAACGAAATGAATTACGTTTATGAATGGACTGCTGACGTGGCTTACAAGATTTTTTGCGCATCGGCTTCTTCTGCGGTCAATAATTCAGGTGCCATTTTTTAGACATTGGCACCGATACCCATATTTGCCCATATGTAAAAATTTTCAACGTAAAGAGCTGTACTGAAATGATCCTGTTCTGGGCTCTGGCATTACCCGTGGCAGGTTTCCGGGGGGAAGGGTGTTCAAAGGCGCATTTCTCGGTTGCAATTTGTATACTTTGATTCCTGTGAAGAAAATCGTAGACGTAACGCTCGAACGCCTTAGGACTGGACAAGTATTCCATGAAGGGAGATATTGCTGCGGGATCAGATTGGGATCGGTTTGGAGCAGGAGGGGCAGGGAAACTGGCAGATGAAAGGGCGATACGTCGGTCCCTCACAGAATAAGTACAACGCGTCGTACCTGTGTTTATGGAGATATGACTTACCTAGGGCATGTCCCGTCTTCGGATTTCTGAGACACCCTCTGAGGATTGCACACCTTCAGGTTACATAGAGATAGGATATATCTTCGGATTAGGATGAACGCAGCACTCTCGTCACTCGCTGTAGCATGAAAACGGGGGAGCCGTTGAGGTTGCTTGCGGACCGACCCGACCATCGGGTAGGTGCAGGATGTGTGTTCGACAGTTCCGAGTTTAGTCTTTGAATCGAGGGGCTGTAAGCGAAGATGGCTTCTCACGGCGCAGTTCTATTCAGATAGTGAGGTGCCGAAACAAGTTCTGTAGTCAGTGCAGCTAGCAATGGCTGCTCCGCAGTCAACATGGCTGCAAATGAAAAAGTGTACAAAACACGATGTACAGTGGGAGACTAAAGAGGATTAGCTCCGAGTGAGCTATTGCCATTAAAGTTGTAATCTTGAAAGCTTTAAGAACGTCAGCGCGGCCGAAAGATAGGATTCCGTTTCCCATTGGGGGAAACTGATACCTTTCTGCTGCCGAGACGTAGGTTTTGAAGAAGTGTAGCGACAAGAGTGCTTATGATGAGCGCTGATCTTGCGCTGATTTTAAAATTAGAGCTGCAATTATCGTATAGCTGCAATTGGCCGGACATTTGCGGGGGGAGAGGGCCAAAAAAGACACTTCGACCGGAGTCACAGTCACAAGTTTTCGCAGCCCAGAAGAAGACGTGGATACGAGTACCGGGGCGAGAAGATACATAAAATGCTCCTCGACAAGCAGGAGCAGACTCTCGTCCATCACCTTGATGTACACCAAAATATGAAGCCATCTCCAGTCGCAGCCTGACTGGGAGGAAGGCCTATGAAATCAGTCACTCACCTCAACCTCCAAAACACACTGCGAACTTCTTTTATGAACCAACGATGACAGCTACCTGGAGACCAGTACTCTTGATCTGGAAGACCTCCAACATCGAGCAGCTCCGACAACGTCGCTACGGTCTAGGACATCATCTTCACCGCAGTCGCCAAGGCGCGGGTTGATGGTATGGACTGGAACTTCCTGGAATGGATGGAAGACCGATGATTGTCTTCGTGGACCTCTGACAGAAAGTGAACGCTGACATCGAACAACTCTTAGCCGACCAACCCTAGGAGAATATCCTGCCTTCATGTCGTCGCCTTCTTGGAAACTTCGTACTGCTACAGGATTGGGTGCCACCACATGGAATCGAAGGGCGTTGGAAAAACTCTCGCCTACTTGGAATGGAAGGGCGTTGAGAACCTGAAGAAACGGAATATCCAAGTGTGTCACCTGATTTGAACCTCTCGATTACCGGGTTCGGGCGGAGCTCAACAGGGTGGTCTACAGTGGCGGAGAAATCAACGACCTCGCTGAACTCAGGCACCGAATCACGGTCGCGTGGCAGAATCTCTCGATGGCGTTCGTCCAGAAGGCTGTGGCGGAGTATCATGATAGTGTACAATGTGTTGTTGAATATGATGGTGGAAATGTCGACGATTTTTTTCAGTAGTAGTAGGGAGTGATTTAAGAAGAACTGAACCAAGAAGGGGGAGGGTGGAGGATCGCATGCTACACCTTCTTCCAGCACTTGATATGATGGGGAATCGATATATTTGGGCTATCGTTTTATCCCACACGTTCAGCTGTATAAAAGTGGTTCGCCACTTTTGAGCTTTCCAAGCTCTCGTCGCTAACGTTTTTGAATGCTGTAGAAAGCACAGCTGAAAATATCAAAATAGTCAAGCAATTTCAATAATATGTGCGCTTAGAAAATGAGTCTGATTGGTAGTCTTCGAAAACTTTTGAAATTCACTGGAACGGCTAGCTATAGCAGAATGGAGTCTTTTTTTTGTAATATGTGAGAGTTTCGCAGCATTGGGTCCTCTAACACACCCTTTGATTTCCCTCAATAAAGGATTTCATTCTGGATCTTCTGAAAATTCAGGATGATTCTCCTTGCTTCTGTATTCTCACGCCATTTGGTTCGGACTTGCAAAATAAATTCAAGATTCACGAAGCACAGTCTTGTGCGCTACGGATGCAGCTGCGTGTCCGAGGGCTGGGTTTGGCGCGTGGGCCGTTGGGTTGGCCGTATCCCAGCCTGCTTTCTGACAAGCTGCGAGCTTGCTCGCTCAGCAGTTGTAAGGAGGTAGATGCCGGCCAGCAAACCCAATGCCCTCCTTGGCACGCTCAATCTTCGCCTCCGCACATAAGACTGTGTAATGATTCGGCCCCGCCCCATTATACACCATTGCTTTTCACCCCACAGGATCTGTTGAGAGGCGCTTCAAGAGTTTTTCGCTATCTACGAACTGATTATTGCAGAAGTGCGTGTAGACATGCTAGAGACACTAACAACTGGCGTCGGATTGATTCGAACGCCTGGAAGCTCAATCAACGCGAAATGGTTATTCCTAAACTACGAATGAAGACGTGATTTACCCAACGTGGCAAATCTCTATACCTTACCAAATAGCCCCTGACCAAGCACGCACTGCTCTGTTCAGCCCTCTCGTGTCTTCTAATATCCTGTGCATGTTTTTCTGCAAAAAGAATTCAACTTTGAATCGCTCGTTCTTTATTGGTTCAGTGTCGCTCCCTTACGCTGAGATTTGATTCGAAAAAAAATGTGCGTTCTGATACTGATCTCTGTTTCTCTTCGTATAAGCACACTGTCCCACTATGCATAATCTCTTGCAAACCATCTTGTGACTCATCACTAGGCAACTTTAGAATTGATTATAACTAAATTTAACCAAAACTATATGTAAGAACTATCCACCAGACTCGAGTCTATTACTTCTGCAAATAAAACATTTCCATCGCCAACATTTTCACTTCGATCGGAAAACTTTTATTTTGCCCAATAGCTCAATGTTGTTCTCGTTTGCTAAACAACATCAAAAAGTCCGTAGGAGCTTCACAAGAGGTGAAACCACGCATCTCCTGTCAGCGGTGGAATGGGCTGGTGATTCTTGTGTGGCGACCTGCCTCGGCACTGTAGAGGGTCCTGTGGGTCTCCCGTTTTGCATATATAAACTTCGTTTCCTTTTATCTTACGTGTCTGCAAAACTGCAAAAGGGGTATAAGTCAGTATGTAACACCTTTGAGGGTATCGTCCATCCATTAGTGCACATGGGTGAACACTGCTCTACTACTGTCGCTTCAAAACGACGATAAAAAACTCTTGTGGAAACCTGATCTACAGAGGTTAGGTGCCCTTAGGGTACAGCATCGTGGTGTATGGAATGGCGGTGTCGGTACGACCCCCCCTCTAGAGGAAGGGTCTTGATACGACCTCCCCCACCTAGAAAACGGTCCGGTACAACCCCCACCCCTTCCCCAACGCCTACCTACCACTTTCCTACAAGTTCCCAGCTTCCCACCTGTTTTTCCAAAATTTTCCACATTTTCCAGTTTTTCACCAAAAAGCTTTCATCGAGTGGGGGGGGGATATAGTACACATGAAACAGGAAAAATCACGCGAAAAGTCAACAACCGGGAAAAATTTTTTCCCAACGCGGCAAATTTTTCTCAAAGCCACATAAGACCCCCTCTCCCAACGACGACAAAATGCGAATCCTTCTCAGCGACACAACGATGCTGTACCCTGGGTGGCCTTACCCTCGATATGGTATGCGCTTTTGACTTCGATGCCATTCAGCGCCAGTATGCCATCACTCACCCTGGTTTATCAACGTGGAATAACCATAAGCAAGATCAGGATTAATGTAGTTGTTGCGCCCTGATAGTTCGCCTGGGAAGTGCAGACCTGGTTAATCAGAAAACAAAACAAGTAGGGTCCAACTTCTCTCTTTATAAGACCTCTGCATTACTGTAAACTTGTAAGTTG